TTTTGTATTCAGTTGTTTTCCAAATATCCACAAACCTAATTATATTTGCAAGTTGATTGTCTGACCATTGCTAAGGACCATGCAAGTTGATTGTCTGACCATTGCTAAGGACAACTACTTGGCAACGCCTTATCATGCTCACAACCCAAATGTTTGCTTTGTGTAAGTCATACGGACTAGCCGAAAACTTTAAATAAAGAAGAGAAAAAAACTTCTTTTTTGTTTTCCAATAAATATCGGGCCAAGCACTTAATTTTGTTTTGTGAACAATTTCTCTACTCCACCCCTTGAATTTCATACAATTTCATGTTGGGGAACTACAATAGTTTAGTTTATGTGTACTGTATCTTATTTTGATTAAAGCTTATCTTTTCATATTGATATTTTTATTGCTTGATTTGTAAATACGTACGTACTTAAACCATTCTTGATCAATGTATCAAAATGGTTAGGCAGGCCGCACTGAATAAGCATGATAATAAAAGGTGGTTATAGGATAATTTATGAAAAATATTCTATTTTGAAAGTTTTTGACATTGCTTAATTTATTGGGAATCATATAAACGTTGTTTTACTTCAATATCTCAAACTGTTCTGAAACTGCAGTACTTAAAAAAAACATGACATCATCAATTAATTTCATGAAAATACAATTTCTTTTGTCAAAAATTATACACTAGAATGGTCGGCTTAGTGTTGAAGATTTATTCAACTTATCTCTAGTGAAACAGTTACGCAAGTCACAGCAATTCTCTGATTCCATATAAAGAAATACAGACAAATAGATTATCTGTCAGATCTAAAATCTCAAGAACATAAATCGTATACAGTATTTTCTTCCGGAATTATTGATAAAATCTACTGGTATTTGAGGAAAAACATAGATAATTGGATTTACCCTTACCAGTTCAATTTGTTTATCGCAGTTATTTTTATTATTTCATTTCGATGAAGTTCTTAATGAAATGCTATTCGATGGTCCGATTCCATGAAAAGAATCCTGCAAGTTCCGCGTCAGATTTACGGACAACGCGGTCTTTTACATGAAATACTTCACATTGAACTTAATGGGATAGTCGCACACCAACAAAGCATAATTATACGTTTAAAAACAGTGGGAAATGTAGAAGGTTGTTAAAAATAGAAGAAATCTATCATAAAGTGTTATGGTGGAATGTCACCGACCCCGCTGTTAACATCTCTCGAATACGGAATTTGTTCAGAGAATGTTTAAGTAAAAAGAGAATATTATACAAATAAGTTGTACATGTATTTAAATAGCTACGTATTGATTGTTTCGTTGTTGAAAACTTATATCATCTTCATATGAGCCGCGTCACGACAAAACCAACGTAATGTGTTAGCGACCAGCATGGATCCAGACCAGCCTGCGCATCCGTGCAGTCTGATCAGGATCGATGTTGTTCGCCTACAAACCCTATTACAAGTAGAGAAACTGATAGCGAACAGCAAGGATCCTGATCAGACTGCGCGGATGCGCCGGCTAGTCTGTATCCATGCTGCTCGCAAACGCACTGTGTTGGTTTTGTCGTGAATCGGCTCAAATTTCCTTCGTATTATAATGCTGAACTTTTAATAAGCATCAAATGTTTTAGTGTGAATATTTTAAATTGCATGTTTAATCAATAAGATTAAAGGTCAAATTTAACCTCGTTTTTACTGATGTTGCATTAGTTTTGTATTAAGTTGTTTTCCAAATATCCACAAACCTAATTATATTTGCAAGTTGATTGTCTGACCATTGCTAAGGACCATGCAAGTTGATTGTCTGACCATTGCTAAGGACAACTACTTGGCAACGCCTTATCATGCTCACAACCAAATGTTTGCTTTGTGTAAGTCATACGGACTAGCCGAAAACTTTAAATAAAGAAGAGAAAAAAACTTCTTTTTTGTTTTCCAATAAATATCGGGCCAAGCACTTAATTTTGTTTTGTGAACAATTTCTCTACTCCACCCCTTGAATTTCATACAATTTCATGTTGGGGAACTACAATAGTTTAGTTTATGTGTACTGTATCTTATTTTGATTAAAGCTTATCTTTTCATATTGATATTTTTATTGCTTGATTTGTAAATACGTACGTACTTAAACCATTCTTGATCAATGTATCAAAATGGTTAGGCAGGCCGCACTGAAATAAGCATGATAATAAAAGGTGGTTATAGGATAATTTATGAAAAATATCTATTTTGAAAGTTTTTGACATTGCTTAATTTATTGGGAATCATATAAACGTTGTTTTACTTCAATATCTCAAACTGTTCTGAAACTGCAGTACTTAAAAAAAACATGACATCATCAATTAATTTCATGAAATACAATTTCCTTTTGTCAAAAATTATACACTAGAATGGTCGGCTTAGTGTTGAAGATTTATTCAACTTATCTCTAGTGAAACAGTTACGCAAGTCACAGCAATTCTCTGATTCCATATAAAGAAATACAGACAAATAGATTATCTGTCAGATCTAAAATCTCAAGAACATAAATCGTATACAGTATTTTCTTCCGGAATTATTGATAAAATCTACTGGTATTTGAGGAAAAAGTTTTTGACATTGCTTAATTTATTGGGAATCATATAAACGTTGTTTTACTTCAATATCTCAAACTGTTCTGAAACTGCAGTACTTAAAAAAAACAACCATGACATCATCAATTAATTTCATGAAATACAATTTACGTTTGTCCAAAATTATATACTTTAGAATGGTCAGCTTAGTGTTGAAGATTTATTCAACTTATCTCTAGTGAAACAGTTACGCAAGTCACAGCAATTCTTTGATTCCATATAAAGAAATACAGACAAATGATTACATATAAAGAAATACAGACAAATAGATTATCTGTCAGATCTAAAATCTCAAGAACATAAATCGTATACAGTATTTTCTTCCGGAATTATTGATAAAATCTACTGGTATTTGAGGAAAAACATAGATAATTGGATTTACCCTTACCAGTTCAATTTGTTTATCGCAGTTATTTTTATTATTTCATTTTGATGAAGTTCTTAATGAAATGCTATTCGATGGTCCGATTCCATGAAAAGAATCCTGCAAGTTCCGCGTCAGATTTACGGACAACGCGGTCTTTTACATGAAATACTTCACATAGAACTTAATGGGATAGTCGCACACCAACAAAGCAGCCAGATGACGGGTACATGTACATCTGGTCTAAATATAACGAGATCCGAACTGGTGCCCGACTGTCACTTAGTGACAAACGAACAACGCAAGAAAATCCAGCATTAATGATATGTATTACTGTTATGGCAAACCCCTAAAGAGGACGATGTAAAACCACTAAGAAAAAACGTAATATAAAAATATAATATTATCATAGATATACGTTTAAAAACAGTGGGAAATGTAGAAGGTTGTTAAAAATAGAAGAAATCTAGCATAAAGTGTTATGGTGGAATGTCACCGGCCCCGATAATTACATGTAGCTGTTAACATCTCTCGAATATGGAATTAGTTCAGAGAATGTTTAAGTAAAAAGAGAGTTTTATACAAATAAGTTGTACATGTATTTAAATAGCTACGTATTGATTGTTTCGTTGTTGAAAACTTGTTTTTATATCATCTTCATATGAGCCGCGTCACGACAAACCCAAAGTAATGTGTTTGCGACCAGCATGGATCCAGACCAGCCTTCGCATCCGTGCAGTCTGATCAGGATCGATGTTGTTCGCCTACAAACCGAACATGCTGGTCGCAAACACAATACGTTGGTTTTGTCGTGACGCGTCTCAATTATATTTTATGCATCACCTGATGATGAATAAAAATAATCATGTCATGATTTGCTTATATTAGATTTGCGATGACAGAAGTAAGACGATGGAATAAAGGGGACATACGAATTTTTTCATGTACTACGTACGTACTTTATCTATTATGTAGCCATGCGGTAGCTATTTATGCGCCCGCGCACGCGATATGCATACCGTGCGCACGCAACAATGATATATGGCAACGTGATATATATTAGCTACGCGTGCGCACATAACATATCTGAAATTAAATCTGAAAAGCTGTTTATAAGGCAATAGCAATCAACGATAAATTCGCTGACTTGGAAACGCCGCCACAACTTCAGATCAACTTTACTTTCCCTTGAAACTTTAATAAAATCTTTATGGTATAGCATTCTTCGAGCATGCAGAGTCTACAAAAATATATAATAAGACAACTCTATACCTTAGTTGACACTTCAGTAGCGCTATTCAGTAGTAGCTACCAATTCAGTAGCGCTAGCTCGAAGTAGCGATAGAGCGATTTGTGGCATACTTCTAAAAAAGTTGGCCGATCAGATTCAAAATACACAACTTAAAAATGATTATTTGTTATTCAATATCGAATTATTAATTATTTTATATGAAAGTGGACTTGAAGTAGCATGTTATGATTTTGGAGGGGAAAATGTTATGATTAACAAGCACGATCCAAATATTGATCTTGATCCTAAAATTGATCCTCGTTTTGATCCTTTATTTTTTGTGTTTGTATTGCTATTTGATGAATAGGCCGGAGGGTGTTAATTTATTAACTGTTTGGTACGAATTTTATTGTACATATGGCCTTGTTATGGGGGAATGTGTGTGGCGATTAGACTATTTATGACTTTTTTTTTGTTTGACTTTTTGTCTTGTTAACAGCTTCTAAGTTCCACCTCTTGTCTCCATTCATTTAATCCCTTTATTTCCAAGATTGTCTTTTCCAGCTGATATTCCTTCTTGATTTTATCCAACGTTGATTCATATAACACCATTAATACATAACAACTGAGATCGAATGCAGTCTACTTGATCCCCTGACATTATGCAGTAATGGGGGTTATATTTTTATTTTTCTTTCCCCTCTTTTTTTCTACAATAAACTAAAGCAATCATAATTTACAAATAAAAAATATAAAATAAATATAATACAATTGATTGAATGTATGAATATGATCAGCCTGATCAGGATCCATGCTGTTCGCTATCAGTTTCTCTTCTTGTAATAGGGTTGGTAAGCGAACAGCATGGATCCTGATCAGACTGCGCAGATGCGCAGGCTGGTCTGGATCCATGCTGGTCGCAAACCCATTATGTTGGGTTTGTCGTGACGCGGCTCATAAATATGTACATGAAAAGTATTAAATATACAGCTGATCCTTTACAGGTGATTTGAAAACATTAATTATTTTTTAATCGCCTTTAAATCGCTTCCAGCACTCTCATCCTTTTCTGGGTATTTTCATTCATCACCTGTAAAGCATCAACCATATGGATGATACTGCTAATTTACTCCTTTAATAATTTAATTTCTTTCCCAGTTTCTTCCGGTAAGGATTGTTTTGGTCTCCCCCTAATCGCTGCTTCTAAATGATCAAATCTGTCTGTTCTGAAATGTAAAAAAATATGATTAATTTATTATCATCATCATCATCGTCATCATCATCATTATTGTTACTGAATACTTTAAATATTTATTTTTTTAAATAATATGTAAAACTTACTGTTGGAATGGGAGTGACACATTTTCTCCTTCCACTTTTTTAAGCAAAACTGGCCCTACCGGGGCAACCCATTTTGGTTTCTGTGTTTGTGGCTTTGCGGGACCCTGTACGGGTTCATACGGCTGTTGTCCCTGGAACTGCGTGGGTTCCTGTGGCTGGTGTCCCTGGACCTGCATGGGTTCCTGCGGCTGTTGTTCCTGGACCTGCATGAGCTCTGTTGTCCAATCCAGGTCCCCCAGGTCTATTGGTGTGGCCATACACGGTATACTTAAAAATTCTTCTATTTCTGCACTATTTAAATATAAAATATACAAAACTCACTAAATTCAGGCAGATTGACCAAAGATATTGTGACATCTGAGGGTTCATGTTTCTATGCAATACTCTAATTATACAATTTCTGCGACATCAATTACGGTTATTTTTATGGAATTATTTTCGATCTATTTTTTGTATACATGAAACGTTCAACTTGAGAATTAATATTATCTATAGAAAGTATTCATTGAACCTTTTTATTAAACACCGCTGCTTATGACTGTCATCGCGTGGAATGAATGTATTTTTGCTAATTTCATGTCAAGATTTAGTTTAAGTTTTTATTAAACCAAGGCATATAACAAACAGACAGAAAATAACAGTCAAAAATCACTAATATCAGAATAAAAGAATACAATTATGACTAGCTAAATAAACAATAAAAGGTGATTCAGCTACTGAATTCAATACAACATGTATTTTACATTGTGGAGAATGAGAAGTATTAATCATCTAAATTTTAACATAATGTTTTTACAAAATAAAGATAATTTTAGTAGAATCTTTTTATCAAAACTATTCATTAATCTGTCAAGTTTAAAATATTGGGATGAATATAAAGACCTGGGAAGAAGAGATTTACGTATTATGTCATTAAAGTACGAACATTCAAAGAAGTAGTGAAATTCATCACCAATAGCTTGATACAGAGCCTATTATTATGATCAATTGCCAAATGTCTGCCTTTTCCAATTGGTAATAGGTGATTCATTGTTCTAAATTTACAAAATTATTTGCCTATGTCAAAAGGAAGAACATCTAGATATTTTTCAAAACAATGAGTATTTTTATATGAACGATACACTAATTTCACTAAACACTTTAGAGGATGTATCAATAATACTATGCTAATCTTGTAAAAATTGATCATGTAGTCTAAGCTTCACAATATTTTTAAAGTGATTAATATTATCTACCTTCTGTAAATGAAAATATTCTGGCATGCCAATATTACTATGTGTTTCTTTCACAAAATTTATCCATTAAGATTTTAACAATATTCCTAGAGGACAAAGACAACATTCTTTTATAAAGAAGTTTACATATCTTATTTTCCTTAGCATAATTAATTTTACTCCAGTAACACAAAACTCTTGCTTGCACTTGTAAGACTAATGGAAATACAAAATGTATGCCTAACTCACCATAAACCATACAATTAGGTGTAGAAGCTTTTAAATTCAAAATAAATTTACAAAAAAAAACAACTGAAATTTCTCTAGAATTTGAACTTGTTCGAATCCCCAAACTTCACTTCCATAACAACCATAGAGTTAAATAAATGTAGTTGCAAAGATATGGGTAAACATAATTTACGGGACTTTTGGATCACAGAAAACATTGTTCTTCTAGCATTATCAACAATGATTTTTTTTATCTTTCATTTTCGTCTTTGTATTGTTTGCGCGTGCGTTAATTTAAGCTCGGTCATAGTTTAATAGTCGGATTTGTATTATTATGCGGATCGTATTACCGGCTGTTTTATTTACACTGCGCATGTGCATCGGCTCTGTCCCGGTGTAACGTTGTAAAGTGACCCCATAGAATAATGACCCCCAGTCACTATTTTATACTGCTCTGAACTGACTTTGGGCGTTCCGAGCCGATAGCGCGCATGTGCAGTCACCGTCTCAGAGCCGGTGCTCATGCGCAGTACATGTAAAAGAGCCGGAGATGAGCCGATAAACATGTACAATGCATGTTAGGGATAGTGTGTTTAAACTAACAAAGGAATAGAAAATGTTTATTTGTTTAACAAAAAAAGATAGAGGACTGATACATGTGAAATACTGTTAAGATTAAGTTAACTTGGCATATAATCCACATATTCATCAACCAAAATAATATTTTATTAACTTGCTGCGAGTTTATAATAGATATATTTAAAAAAATCAATTGCTTCAATGAAACAGTCGAAATAAGAATTCCTAAATAAGAGGTAACTCTTCTAGACAACAATGCTTGTAACAGACATTGACATAAATTCAAGTAAGATACATAGTAATATTTCCGTAAGTAAGAATGACAAGAATGAAAGAAAATAGTCATAATTGAATAATAACTAAATCAAAGAGTTATATTTTCTTAAGAAATGTCAGTTTAAGGGGAGATATCTAAAAATGATTGCTTAAAGAGTTATGCATTGTCACATAATATTGGTTGGTAAGGATATGTTTTGATTTGAAGTAGTACTTTAAACAAAGAAGTTATATTAAAAAACGCTTTGTAAAAATCAATCATGGCGAGATAATCGAAATATTGTGCTAGAGTATGAATTGTTACAAGATTGGTTGTAAAGGAACATATTTGAGTATGGTTATCTTATAATAAGAGTAACCTTATTATTAGAAGTAACGTAAAAATAATATTTTTAAGGAAAATCTAAGTTTAAGGAGATAAATCTAAAAATATTGGAACTAATTGGAAGCGGTAATAAACATTATTAGCCTATAGCTTACTACAGTTACAAACTGCAAACAGCATTGGTGGCACTATTCAAAAACAAATTGGTTTACATGTATAATCTCACAACCTTCACCTTTCTGACATTCTGAGACCCATGCAAATTCAGCGCCATCTGTGCTTTGATTTAAAAATTAAGTCTAGGGTAGATACCATTTAAAATAACAAAGATAATACTAAAAAAATCAATTTACAATTAAATTCTAAGTTCAAAAATGAAATGGAGATAATTCTGAGAATACAGGAGCTTGCGTTTTGTAACTCTTATCCATATGACAAAAAGTTATAGTAAAAGATACCATTTGTTAATATAAATTTCAAGTTAAAGGGGGGATAATTCAGGAAATAGTCACGCTAGAGTTAAGAACCTTGTCACACACCATGTGGGTAATGATAAGAAATATATATTTGAAGATTGAAGTAGATACCTTAAAATAAAGAAGTTATAATATTTCTTAAAGAAAATGTTCCGTTTAAGGGGAGATAAATCTAAAAATATTGCTTAAAGAGTTATGACCATTGTCACATAATATGTGGTTGATGATAAGGGATATGATTTTGAAGTTTGAAGTAGATCTAGATACCTTTAAAACTAAAGAAGTTATATTTTAAAAAAAATCACTTTTTTAAGTAAAAAAATCTAAATTCATGGCGAGATAATTCTTGAAATATTGGTGCTAGAGTTATGAACCTTGTTACATAAGATGTGGTTGATGATAAGGAACATATATTTGAAGTATGAAGTTTATCCCTTATTAATAAAGAAGTAACCTTATTATTAAGAAGTAACAGTAAAAATAATATTTTTTAAGGAAAATTCTAAGTTTAAGGGGAGATAAATCTAAAAATATTGGAACTAGAGTTGTGAAGCTTGTGGTTGATGATAAGGAACATATATTTGAAGTCTTAAGAAATGAAAAAGTTAAAGTGAAAAATATTTTATTGCAACAAAACGTTTATCTTAAATCTGGACGCGGACGCGAACATTACCATATTTCTCTTCTGAGATAATCATATTGAGAGTGTTTCTTTGCTTTATAGTTTGGGTTGGGGGTTGGGGGGGATTATACTACAGGGGGTCACTTTTCTATGCGAGGGTCATTTTTCTACGTGTAGGGGAGTCATAATATTATGACTGCCCGGTCATAATATTATGACCGGGGGTCATTATTTTATATAAAACATTGACCGGGGGTCATTTTTATAGAGGTCAGTTTACAACGTTACACCGGCTACCTAACATGCATTGTACATGTTTATCGGCTCATCTCCGGCTCTTTTACATGTACTGCGCATGAGCACTGTTTTTATTTCGAGGTCTGACAGTCCGCGTAGTAGCCAAACTTTAAATATTTATTGATAAATTGTTGCACCTTTAATTCTTAATATAATTGTTACTTAAATAAATTATTTTAACTGTTTATCGATGGTGTAATTATTGTGTTAAAGTACGACTCTCCAGCCGGTGACATTTATTTTTAGTCACCGTCATCAACCATACAAAGACAAGACTTTGTGTCTTCGTCTGAATTTCAACATCAACAATCATCACTCGAGATCTTAGAACAACACAGAGAACAACATAAAACATCAGCCTTGATTAAAATAAGTCCGGATTTCCCCCGCCCATTTTGATAGGCCGTCTAGTGACGGCCGACGCGAGTACAACATTGAAATAAACAACAACAAAAAACACCTAAAAATAGTATTTAGTCAACAAACCATTTAGATATAATAAGCTAGAAGTAGCTAACATACGTACAGCACCATGCTCGCGTCGCAATATATATTTATGAGATGAAAATACACCTTTAACTATCATTGAAATCATTGGAGATATAAAAGAAAAAAAAATATGTAAAATTTTAGAGCCCTATATTTTTTGAAAAAAAAAAATATCACTGCATTTATTATATTAAGAGGATATTTTTTCGTTTGAGTGAAATATGGAATATATTTTCACGAAACATGATAAAATGCCACATATTTTCACGAGCCGGGACGGCGAGTGAAAATATGTGGCATTTTATCATGTTGAGTGAAAATATATACCATATTTCACGAAAAACGAAAAAATAACCTTTTTATTTAATTTCATTATCAAAGAAAAATGGTTACGAACCCCCTTGCTTGCTACACAAACGCAATTGTACAGCGCGCAATAATATAATTATTGTCTTGTTTTGCACGCGATATTTAGCGCTACATTGTGACGTCACGTACAACTCTTTAAACGTCTGTACAGCGTTAATGACTGAATTAAAGATATTGGTGTTCGGATTTATTTTCTTAGTTAGACCATTTTCTATCATTCTAGATAGTTTTCAAATCAAAATTCAACAAAAAATTGTTATTTATTTATCAGATTTTGTTAACAAAATGGCGAAAGAAGTCCCCTAAAATAAATATGAGTTTGACTCCGCCCACTTTCATATTTATATTTCATATTTATTTTTTACATATATGAAATATATTTGACTGGTATTAAGAGAATATTTTTTCTTTTGAGTGAAATATGGAAATATATACCATATGTCACGAAAAACGAAAAAATAACATTTTTA